TGCGCGATCCTCCAGCCACACCCGCTCCGTCCCCACGTGGGCGGCCTCTCTCATCGAGGATCAAGAACCCTAACCTATTAACACAGTGGAGACGTGTCCTCGCTGAGGTCCCCGTCTTCGCATTAGGGATGATAATCCTGGGCGGGTCGGTTCGATGCACCTGCAGAAAAGAGCCCTTTATCCCTCATGTCCCCGGTTCTCCTAACTTAGGTCCCCTCCCGAAGGGCTAGGGGTCATGTTTTGGTTCATCACTCTGGAGGAGGAGGAGCGCGTGTTCCTGGACTTGGGGTTCTGCTTCGACCGCTCGGTGCAGCTGTTGGCGGTGGAGTTCTCCGTGGCGGACCCGTCCTGGGGTCGGGCGAAGGAGGGGGACTGGGAGAGGGGCCTCGGCGGGTGCGAGGTCCCTGGCACGCAGGGGTAGTTAGAGAGGGGCCCGGCGGGTGCGAGGTCCCGGGCACGAGGCCGGCCTCAGCCTTTCCGCCCTGCATTGTCCTCGATGCAGGGCGCCGCCAGCTGCCCGAGCTGATTCGCGGATCCTTCACATTGGCATCGTTCAGAACTGTACTACAGTGGGGGCCCATGCCACGAGACGCCCTGCGTGCCTCCAGGGTGCCCTGGACTTTCCCGGGGGTTCGGTGGTCGTGCCATGGAAGGCGTGACGCTCCCACACCAGAAATCGATGACGTCCTGGGGTCTCAGGGTTGGGCTTCTTGTGGAAGGTCTACTTATGGTCGGGCCCCTGCTCGAGTGCTATGTGCGTCGGGCCTCCAGGGGCGGTGCGCTCTGAGATCGTACAGGATATACTCAGTGGCAGGCACGTTCTGGCCACACCGCCCGGGCAACGATATGCTATGATCGTGTGCCCGTGCATCTCGGGTTCGGACATGCGCCTCCAAGGGGAGCGCATAGTACTAGTACGTATGTCCCTCGACTGCGCCGGCATTCGCTCGGAAGATCTCCGTGTAAGGTCAAAGCGTAAGTGCCGTCGTCTCCAGGGCTGCGTGCCATGCTGGCGGCCCGCGTAAGTCACGGCGTCAGGGCTCTCTGCCATCTTACGTACTGTGAGCCCGCTTGGGAAGGATGGGGAACCTTCCCAAGGGTACCCTTGCATCCTTGCCTCCTCGGCCCAGCCTCGGTCACTTTCGTTGGCCGCGCCCCGCTCGAAAAGCCTCCACATGGGATCCAAGGCCGTGGCGTCCTTATCGCGCGCTCTTATGATACGCGCCGACTGTTGTATCTTTTGCAAGATGCGCTTCTTTCCGTCGCTCGTATTGCTGTCGCCCGACCCGGCCGTCGCCGCTCGCAGACGGCCGGCTGAAGCTGCGAGTGCTGCACCCGATGCCGAGCCTGTCCTCCTCGGCGACGCAGTGGTTCCACGTCGGGGAGCCGTGGCCTCTCGCCATGCCGGGCTCGGCGGCGCGCAGAAGGGGCGCGATGAGAGGGTGGCAGCCTCCCCAGAGGGCGGGCTTCTCGGAGGCCCTCCTTCGAAGAGGGCAGACATGCACAGCACACATCACATGTTCTCCTCCCTCTCCTCTTGCTCTTTCTCCTCATCCTCCCCCCTTCTCCTCCTCCTCCTGCTCCTCCTCTACCTCCTCCTCCCCCTCGGTCTCCTCGTCCTTCCTTGACTTTTTGCATCCTGTGCTGCTGCAGGGCTGCCTGAGCGTGTCCGTGCTGCCGGTGTGCTCCGTCCTGTGCCGCCCGTCTGCGAAGCACACCCTCGGGGCTGCGCGCGGACCTCGTGGCTCTGCGCGGGGGCCCCGGGCGCGCCCCTGCGCGGGAGGAGGAGGAGGAGGAGGAGGAGGAGGAGGAGGAGGAGGAAGGAGGAGGAGGAGGATGGAGGAGGAGGAGGAGGAGGAGGAGGGGAGGAGGAGGAGGAGGAGGAGGAGGAGGAGGAGGGAGGAGGAGGAGGAGGAGGAGGAGGAGGGGGAGCGCGGCAGGGGTGGGCGGCCCAGCGCGCTGTGAGAAGGCCGCGCGGGCCGCCGCGAGTGTGTTGGTTACTCCAGATTTCGTAATAAAAGGGAGGGGGTCTCAACCCTCCCAGACGAGAAGTTTTAGACCCCCCCCGTGGGAGAACCCTCCAAAACATCGTCCCCAGACCCCCCCCAGGCCCTCCAAGATGGCCTGGAAGAGACCCCCCCGAAATGAGACCCCCTCCCTTTTATTACGAAATCTGGAGTGTGCAGTCGCTTCCCTCTCCACCTCCTCGCCTCTAGGGAGCGGGGCAGCACAGTGCAGCCAAGGGCGTCACATGGCTTGCGGCAACACTGGAGAGGGCCCGATGCGCAGCAACCCTCCTGGATTGCGCCGTGAAGGAGCTTGACAGGCTGATAGAGTGAGCAGGCCGCTAGCGAGCCCGTCCCCTTTCAGGGACGACTGGCGCGTCCTTCGTTCGTTCGTTTCTGCCCTCTGGGAAGTCTCCTCGCAAGCCTCCGATCCTTGCTCCAAGTCGAAGGAAAGCACTGGCCTGGCGCGCGCGCGCTGGCGGCTGTGGGGCAGGCACGCGTGCGCATGCTGAGTTCCCTTGCGGGCCACGTAGCGTGTGAGGGGTCTGCCAAAATGGGCGGGGGGGCGCTGATGAGGCTTTCGGTGGCTCCCTTGGGGGCCACGAGGCGATGGACGGGTGTGCCTAAATGGGCGGGGAACGCATGTGAATCCCCCCACGGGGGCAGCAGGTGGAGCTCCCAATCTGGGGGAAGGAAACGTGTGAGGGGTGTGCCGGTATCGGCGGGGGCGCACATTTGAATCCTTACAGTGGGTCCGCAGGTGGAGCTCGCTATGGTGGCAGGAATCGTGTGAGGGTGTTCCGACATGTGCAGAGGGAAGCATGCGGACCCTCTCACTGGGGCCGTAGCTGGACCTCCCCATGAGGCCGCGCAACGTGCGGCGGTGGGACCGCGTGCGACCTGTGCCACTGGTGCCTTTGGTGGAGCTCCCCATGGTGCCACGAAGCGCGTGCGGGGCCTGCCGAACTAGGCGGGGCGGCCACGTGCGAATTGCACCCCCATGGGACCCTCATTGTAGCTCCTGTTGGGACTACGCAACGCGTGAGGGGCGTGCCGAAATGGGCGGGGGGATCGCATTGGAACTGTGTCAATGGACCTTCGGTGGGGCCCTCTATGGGGCCTCGGGAAGCGTGAGAGGATGTCCCAAATTGGCGGGGAGACCGCGTGCGAACTGCACCTCTTGGGGCCCTCGGTGAAGCTCCTCTTGGGGCACGACACGTGGGAGGCTTGTGCCCACATGGATGGAGGGGCCGCGTGCGAGGCCCCGCCGCTGAGGCCTTCGGTGGAGCCCCGTGTGGGGCCACGGAATCAGTGAGAGGTGTTCCGAAATGGGCGAGGGGGCGCTATGCAACACATCATAGCCATTGAGGCCTCTGGCGGAGACTCGTGGGGCCACGACACCTGCAAAGGGTGTGCACAACCACTGAGGCCTTCGGCGAGGCTTAGAGGGGGGCCACGAAACGTTGGAGGGGTGCGTCGGAATGGGCGGGGGTGCGCGACGCACTTCATCGCCACCCACGCTTTCGGTGGAGCCTGGCGGTGCACGAAGCGTATTTGGAGTGTGCCGCAATGGGCGGTGGGTCGTGATTCACCATTTTGCGTCTGAGGCCTCGGGTGGATCTTCAGGCGGGACCACAAAACGTCTTAGGGGTGTTGTGCAACACTTTGCCTTTGAGGTCTTTGGTGTACTTCCTTGCGGGGCCACGAAGAGTGTGCGGGGTGTGCCGCAATGGGCGGGGGGGGTGCTATGCAACACCTTGCCGCTGAGGCCTTGGGTTGAGCTGCTTGCAGGGTCACGGAACGTGTGACGTGTGTGCCGAGCTGGGCGTGCAGACTCTGTGCAATACCCTTGCCGCTGCGGCCTTCGGTGGAGATCCCTGGGGGGGCACGAAATTTGTGACGCGAGTGCCGAAATGTGCGGGGGGCATTCTGCAAGACCACGCCATTGAGGGCATTCGGTGGAGCTCCCTGTGAGGCCACGGAACGGTCGAGTGCGTGCCCAACCATTAGGGCCTTCTGGGGCCTTCGGTGACGCTCTCTGTGGGGCCACGAAGCGTAGGAGGGGTCTACCGACATGGGCGGGGGAACGTTATGCAAGACCTTGCCACTGAGGGCCTTCGGTGGAGCTTTCTGTGAGGCCATGATAGGCTTTAGGGGTGTGCCGAAGTGGGAGGGAAGAAGCTATGCACCACATTGCCATTCCATTGATGCCTTCCGTAGAGCTGCCCATGAGGCCGTGGCAAGTGCGATGGGTGTGCCGAAGTGGCCAGGGGAGGCGTTCTGCAACATCTTGCTACTGAGGCATTCGGTGGAGCTCCTTGCGGGGTCACGAAACGTGTTAGGGGTGTTATGTAGCACCTTGCCATTGAGGCCTTCGGTGGAGTTCCCAGTGGGGCCACGAAGAGTGTGAGAGGTGTTCCGTAATGGGCGGGGGGATGCTATGCAACCTTTTGCCGCTGAGGGTTTTGGTTGAGCTTCTTTTAGGACCACAGAACGTGTGAGGTGTGTGCCGAAGTGGGCGTGCGGACGCTACGCATCACCCCTACCGCTGAGACCTTCGGTGGGGCTCCCTATAGGGAGGACGCAGCGTTTGAGGAGTGTGCCGAAATGTGCGGGGGGACATCATGCAAGACCTTGCCACTGAGGGCCTTTGGTGGAGGTCCCTGTGGGGCCGCGCACCGTGTCAGGTTTGTGTGTCCAAACACTGGTGCCATCGGTAGATGGCTTCCCATGGGGCCACGAAGCTTTGGAGGGGTGTGCCGGACGTGGGCGGGGGAACACTACGCAACACTTTGCAATTGAGAGCTTTCTGTGGAGCTCCTCAAAGGGCCACGTAACGTGTCAGGTGCGTGCCGAAGTGGGAGGGAAGACGCTATGCGCCACACTGCCACTGATGGCCTTCGGTGGAGCTTCGTGGTGTCACGATGTCACAAAACGTGTGAGGGGTGCGCCGAAACAGGCGTGAGGGCGCTATTGGACCAACACCTCGCCACCCAGGCCTTTGGTGGAGCTTCTTCTTGTTGGGCCACAATGCGTTGGAGGGGTGTGCCGAAATATGCGGGGGGACGCTATGCAATACTTCACCTTTGGGGCCTTCGGTGGAGCTCCCTGTCGGCTGTGGGGCAACGAATCGTGTGAGAGGTGGACCGACATGGGCACGCAGAGAGCAGAGGAGGAGGAGAAGAAGAAGAAGGATGAGCAGGGGGCAGGAGGTGGGAAGGAGGAGGTGGGGCGCGGCGCTGCGGTTTCAATCCGAGGACCCAACACCGCAGGATGGTTGGCAGACGCAACCGTAACATAACATTCCCTCGTCCTCCTCCTCCTCCTCCTCCTCCTCCTCCTCCATGCGGCTAATTTGTACCGTGCTGGGCTGCCTTATGAATTTTCGAAGGTCCGCGCGCGTTTCTTGGATCGGCGCTTGACCGCCCCCCGAGGCGCCTGCGGCGCCGCCCCTGGCGCGCCACGCGCGCCAGGGAGGGGGGCCCAGCGCCGACCGAAGGAATTCGCGCGGACCCCGACAGTTTATGCTTGCTGCGTATCTGTCTCTTCCTACGGTCGGTTCGCGTCGCGTCGACCGGCGGCGACCCCGCCGCTGGCGTTCAACGTTGAACGCCACCGGCAACCGAGAATCGGCGGATTTTGAACGATCTGACGTTTCGGAAGCGGCCGATCGTTAAAGGTGGAACGATCCCCTCGGTGCCAGGAACCAACGCCGAAGTCGGCACGGCACGAAGCGGCAGTACTCTTGGGGACCTCGGATGCCTTCCGGGACGCCCCCCCCGGTATCCGTACGCTGTGGGTTCGTGTCATTCAGGAGGGGAGGAAAAGACACACAGACACAATGAATCGTCGATTCCCCAGGAAATAAGGGAAAATATGGGAAGTGGGGGGGAGGGGGGAGGACAAAAACTGAAAAAATGGTACACCATGGGGAATCCTGTTAGTCGTGTCTATTTATTTGTGTGTCCCAGGGCCCCTTCAGTCAGGTCGGCGCGGCTGCGATCCCGCCGCGGGCGTCCAAGGTCGCATGCGGCCAGCTGCACAGAGGCGGCCACTCTGGAGCGATCTTGCGATCGTCCAGCCGCCGCGCGTCGCAGGCGATTGTGCTCTCCCAGCCCCCGACTTCTCGTCGAAAAGTGAAGCCGCTCGAGAGAGGTGGGGGGCCCTATAGGATACACGCCAAGGGGGCCATTCGGACGCACCCCTATCGAGGATGGACGCCCCCCCCCCCGTCGTACATCCCAGGGTTGGGCCCCAGATGTGTTTGTCCACTGGAAATCCCAACGAAGCCTGGCACAGGGGTCGACATCTCGCCTATTAGCGGTTGAACGATCCAAGCGGTGTCAGAAACCAACGCCGGGGTCGTCACGACGCGAACCCGCGATAGAAGGCCGTCGCCACTCCACATTTCAGGGGCAACGTAAGAGGGGCATAGGCTCAGGGGGGGGAGGCACATCGGCCCCCACTCGCCCAGCCATCGCCGATGGGAGCCCGACAGCCCCACCTCGCGCCACCTCGCCCAGGAGCGCGCAGCTTCGCTATCGGGGGCCTATCGCTGATCTCTCGGCGATGCATCGCCGACTCCAGGTCCACCTTCCTACCCTCCCCTTGAGCTGGTTGCCCCCCCAACAACGTTACCCCTGAGGCGTTCGGGTCACAGCTCGGCTCTCCGGCGGCCGTTCGGGATCCTCCTCCTCCTCCTCCTCCTCCTCCTCCTCCTCCTCCTCCTCCTCCTCCTCCTCCTCCTCCTCCTCCCCCTCCCCCTCCCCCTCCCCCTCCTCCTCGCCCTCCTCCTCTGCGCGCCGCTGGCGGGCGCGACGCCGCCCCGGCCGGGCGCGTACCGGGCCGACCTCGAGCCGCCGCCCCGGCTGCGCTTCGCGGACTGCCTCGGCTGGTCCCTGCTGGGGGGCGGCGAGGTGCCGCCCGGAGCTGCTCTCAGTCAAGCAGCGGCGAAGCGTCCTGGCTCACCTATGCCCAGAGATCCAACGCATGGACAAAAATCACGACGGGGGTTTTTCATAGTCTTCGGCCTCTAGGGGCCCTCGCCGGGCCTCGGGATCGTGAAACCACGACTCAGGATGAAAAACTGGGGGAATGTGTCGAGACTTCCGGGGACCCCGTATTGAAAAAATCACGACATCGGATCTCTGGGATGTGCCTACCAAGTAATGTTCTAAGAACCTTTTTCGGTTTGCACGACGTGTTTTTAGGACATGTACATGGTTGAGACTGTTTCCCAAGCAGTGCTTGCACTGAAGGGGTCTTAGCGGAAGCTGCAGGATTTGTCGAAAGTTCCACGCCGATTTTGGTAGCATGCTGGGTTCCCGGGTTCCCGGGTTCCTGGTTCCGGGTTCCCGGGTTCCCGGTTCCGGGTTCCGGGCCGATTTCGGAGGGCGGCGAGGTTCCCGGGTTCCCGGGTTCCTGGTTGATCTTCTTATCGATCGGTCTCACCATCGATCTCATTACCGTTTTCTCGATCGATCTCACCATCGATCTCACAATCGATCTCGCTATCAATATCACAAGCGATCTCTTTAAAGATCGCATAAGCGATCTCGCGATCGATCTCACTATCGATCTCATTGAATCGATTTCACTCTCGGTCTCACGATCAACCTTCAGTCGTCCTCACTATCGAATGCACTATCGATCTCTTTACCTATCTTTCAATTGATCTCAAGATCCATAGTATCAATTTTCAAATCTTCCACTGATTGGGGCTTTCTCGGGTGCAGTCTTGTTTCAACACATGGAACATGTTCGGGTTCTGAGAACATCCCGTGGCAGGCCTACAGCAGTGAGGGACGGCCGGCCCCTGCTCAACCCTCCGAGGAGGACGAGGTGTCCATACCTCTACCCTCCCCTGCTCCTCCCTCTGTGGGACTCCCGGGCCTCCCTCGTCGCCACCGCCGGGTTCGCCTCGGAGCCCTGGTCGGAGCGTGCCCCGGGAGAGGTCCCGGGAGAAGCGGCAGGGGTGCCCTGTGGTGTGCCCCTTCTCCTCTCTTGATTCGCCTGCAGACCTCACCGCCCTCCAAACCGCCCTGACCCAACCCGAAGGCCCCGATGCCATTTTCCCTCCTTTTCTAGTGGGGTGGGGGGGGGGGGATCGGGCAGCATCGAAGGAAGCCCACATGTGAAGCCCGCCCCCCCCCCCAACCCGAAATGCGGGTCTTCGGGTTGGGTTGGGGTGGTCTGGTGGGTAGTCAAGGGCGTCAGGCAGGCGGCATGGTGTGACCAGGAACGTGTCTAACCCGTCTGGGGACAGCAGGGCGGCAACGAGCAGGTGGCCCTGGGGGCGGTCTCGGACCTGAACACGCAACAAGAACGTCGCCCAGAAGACAACGTAGGTTTCGAACACGTGGGAAATCGCCCCCCAGCGTTTTGAAGATCATGTCAGGTGCCGCTCGAGTTCGAGGAGGGTGGGCCCGACACCCAGCAGGTCGCCTGGGCCAGGAGCCTGGGGGGCCTGCACGATGCGGTGGAGCTGTTTGTCAAGCTCGGGGAGACGTCAGACTCGAGTGCGTCGGAGCTCGGGCTTGCCGGCGCTTGCCGACGCTGCTTGACGGGCCCGCCCCGGATTCCGATCGTCTCGTTTCCGTTGGAAGTCTGCTCCGCGGGAGCTCGCGCCAGACTTCAGCTTGGGTCTTGTCATGTTCCTCGTGGCCCCGTCGGGCCAACGCTTGCCAGCTTGGACCATATCCCCATCCCTCTGCTGGGCATCGCCTCATCACGATGCCGATCTGTCAGGGATTCCCTCAGCTCCGAGGGCGCACCCCTGAGATCGCATCGCCTTTTGGTGTGCCAGTCCCAGGGGGTAGGGATTAGTTTGAGGCGAGTCACCTGGGCCCGAGTCTCACGTCTGCCCGACGAGCGGGGCGTGGACCCGCTGGGCGCCGGAGAGCAGCGGAAGGCCCGAGGAGAGCAAGGAGGGCACCACAGCTACACGGGCGGTCGAGGCTTCGCGCGGGTCTCTCGGCTCGGCGGGGGGGGCCTCCCCCGGCGCTTTTGGCGCCGCGCGTTCCGCGCGCCAGGGAGAGGAGGGTGTCTTGCGCCGATGCCAGTCGTCAGCGCGGAGCTCCGAAAGTTTGTGACACCTACATATTACACATATATGTACGTGTATATATGTGTATATGTATGTATGTATGTGTAATCATGTAGGTATGTATGCGTGTATGTATGTATGTATGTATGTATGTATGTATGTATGTATGTATGTATGTATGTATGTATATGTGCATGTATGCATGCATGCATGTATATATCTATAGAGATGTATGCATGTATGTATGCATGCATGCATGCATGCATGCATGCATGCATGCATGTATGTATGTATGTATGTATGTATGTATGTATGTATGTATGTATGTATGTATATGTGTATGTATGCATGCATGCATGTATATATAGAGATGTATGTATGTATGTATGTATGTATGTATGTATGTATGCATGCATGCATGCATGCATGCATGCATGCATGTATGTATGTATGTATGTATGTATGTATGTATGCATGCGTGTGTGTATGTATGTATGTATGTATGCATGCATGCATGCATGCATGCATGTATATATATATATGTATGTAGGTATGTATGTATGTATGTATGTATGTATGCATGCATGCATGCATGTATATGTATGTATGTATGTATGTATGTACGTGTGTGTGTATGTATGTATGTAGGTATGTCGGTACGTAGGTATATAGGTATGTAGGTATGTAGGTATGTAGGTATGTGGATATGGATGGATGGATGGATGTATAGATGGATGGATGTATTGATGGATGGCTGTGTGTATGTAGATATGTATGTGTGTATGTATGTATGTATCTATGTTTGTATGTATGTATGTATGTATGTATGTGTGTGTATGTATGTATGTATGTATGCATGCATGCATGCATGTATATGTATGTATGTATGTATGTTTGTATGTATGTATGTATGTATGTATGTATGTATGTATGCATGCATGCATGCATGCATGCATGCATGCATGCATGCATGTATGCAGGTATGTATGTATGTATGTATGTATGTATGCATGTATGTATGTATGTATGTATGTATGTACGTGTGTGTATGTATGTATGTAGGTATGTAGGTATGTAGGTATGTAGGTATGTAGGTATGTAGGTATGTGTGGATGGATTGATGGATGGATGGATAGATGGATGGATGGATTGATGGATGGCTGTGTGTATGTAGATATGTGTGTATGTATGTGTGCATGTATGTATATATGCATGTCATATGTATGTATGCATACATGCATCTATGTATTGTCGTGTCTATATATGTATGTATGTATGTATGTATGTATGTATGTATGTATGTATGTATGCATGCATGCATGCATGCATGCATGCATGCATGCATGCATGCATGTATGTATGTATGTATGTATGTATGGATGTATGGATGGATGGACGGACGGATGTATGAATGTATGGGTGTATGTGTGTATGTCTGTTCATTCGTCCAGTCACATCATTGGCTCCGATAGTCTGAGCGTGGTCAGCTTGGCAGCAAAAAGTTCGGCTCGAAACTCATTCATTAAACTCGAAGCGATGTCCCTGCTCGCGGCGGTCATGCGGCCTCCACCCTAAATGACGGCCTCGATTGCCAACGGGCCTGCAAAGGCCCTAGCCTGAGACCCACGACCTCTGACGTGTGAAGAAGCCGAGGGGGTCAAAACAAGGGGGGACGGTTACTTCTGAGCTCGATACCATTGTCGGGCCTGCTCTAAAACTCGCGTGCTCGAAACCATATTGTCAAAAGCACGGCTACCTGGGAAACCACCCCGAGAAGCCAGGTACGTAGCTATCATCCTCAGGTCTGACACGACGGGGGGGGGGGGGAGGAGGAGGAGGGTGCTCCTCAGCTGTAGCCGTCGGTCTTACCGAAGATGATCGTGCGCAGCTGCAGGACGAGATATCCATCAGATTTGGAGTCGCCTCCATTCTGCTGCTGGTGTCATACTGGTCGCCGCTGCCACTCCAGTCGGTGTTTACTGCAATAGCTGTTCCACCCATTCCTGTAGCGCCCTCTCCATGTGTGTGACTGGCGCTCTCCCGTACTTGCGCTTCGCCCCCGTCGTCTTGAGCGCCTCCATCAGGTGGGTGCGGAACTGTGGGTCCCTCACTGCCAGAGTGAGGCGCTTCTTCTCCGTCTCGTACATACGATATACCTTGCAAAAGCGAACCAGTTCTGACTTCTGCTCGCCGCTGTAGCTGTCGTAGTCCGTGTACATCTTTCGTACCACTTGCTTCAAAGGGTCGTCCAGAGCCAGAGCCACTACCGCTGCCAATCATCCTCCCATCGCGTATATCTGTGTTGGGCCCATGTCGTGTTTTTTCCTTTCTGCTTTGTTATTTTTCCGTACGCCGCCGTCTGCTCCTGAATGCGAAGGATAATCGGGTTGTCGTTCTTGAGAATAAGAGTGTCGAACATCACGCTGCTCATGTCCCTGCTCTGCTGTGCGCACCGAAGGAGCTGTTTGACGATCAGGCACATCAGCATCTTGGTGTGGCGTGGGAGTTGGGTTTTGCCGCCTCCAGTGTCTTCTGTTTTCCTTCGGCATCGTCCTCCTGTGTGCGTTGACGCTGGTTCCGCTGAAATCCCCCATCCATCGGCACGTCTTGGTTGCTTGTCTGTAGAAGAGCTGGCATAATCCAAGATCGGGTGTGGAGTCGGTAAGTGAGACCACCGATGGTGTTCGTACAAGGCGGCCAGGTCCGAAAAGGCTGCGCCACACATTGAACATGTTAGATCAGAAACCATGTGTAGTGGCCATTTCATAGTATTCCTTCCCATTATGCATCCGCCCTGGGCGTAAGCAAAGATTATATGATTTTGTGCACACAACTTGCTTTTCAAAACCGTGTAACAGTTCGGGCACTGGTTCGTGATCACGCTGCTCGGGATCGCGAAGCGAAGTTTATGCCTAGCTGCTTGATGGGTAGTAAGCTGTCGATAGCTGGGGATCGTCTGATCGCAATTCGTCCCAGTTTCGTGATCGATAAGTTCGCAGTTGTATTCTTTGGGGTTCTCGTCTATCATGTCGCTCGGCTTGTCATAGAAACGGGTCCATATGCTGCTTCCTAGGGTATGGGCTGCTGCTCCCAGGATCGCTGGATCGACTCGTAGAAATTCTCGTTCGGCTTCAGGATTCGGGGTGAGGAGGTCCTTCCACGATTCGTTTGATAGGGCCCAGGTCTCCCAGAAAGTCTCGGTGCCACTGATGTCCCTGAAGAGGTCCAGGCCCGGAGCGAACTGATGGGCCCATGTATTCGTTTTAGCTTCTAACGTCCCGTGTTCATCTAGCGTCGGTGGTTCGCTCGGGATATGTCCAAAGATAGCGACCAGAGTTTGTCGGTGTGCAACACAGTGACGACACACCGACTGCAACCATTTAATTATTCTGACCGCAAGCTCTGCTCGTACTGGCAGTACCTTCCAATGCTTAAGAACCTCGACGTTACTCATGGCGGTCATGTGTGAGTCCGTGTGTACCGTCTTAGCTCTGCCTTGCATGAGGGCACGGAGGTATTTTACCGAATGGGAGTCCAGCTTTTTTCTTCGGTTTTCGTCAAAACGAACGCTTCGAGCCCTGAAACTCCAGCCTCCAGCACCTTCCCCAAGAAAATTTCTCGTTTGAGCTTCCATAGCCCTCTTTCATTCCAGAACTTCCCAAGTTGACACCATCCCACTGTCATAGACCGAATACGGATCGAGACCTCTAACTGATTGCTGGCCGTCATCGTGTATCTAGCTCCCAAGTGTCGTGCATCTGGAACTACCTGTCCCTGGGAAGAGGGGCATATTTCCTGGAGCTTCCGATTCTCGATATGCGATCCGAGAGCTGGGACGATGTCCTTTTTTGGTTTATTCTGCGCAAAATGCCAGTGCTTCAGTATATAATCGAACTGTTTGTCGCCCGATTGAATCATCTCCAAGGCATCCTCGGCCTTGCCTGGCGGGCATAGTCGCTTCTTCAGTAGATCGTCCGCGAAGCCCGAGAGGGATGCGTCCTGGTGAAAACCCTCGATCTCGTCATACATGACTATTGGGTCCTGTGTAGTATTTAGCCCATCTGAGATACAATCATGATAAACTCCAGTGAACTGTTTCGGCGCCTCGCTTGAACCTTGTGGGCCTCCGTTGCGCAGTAGAAAAGCTTCCTCTTTGTCGCCAACTGGGATGAGTACTATGCTGTTCACCAATCTCTGATGTGCTAAAGCGCGCAAGTCTTCTCGAACGAGCTGATGTGAAATATGAAGAATATCTCCTGTGCGAGGGCAACGAAATGCGTTGGAAAGGTCGTGTAGCTCATTGATGTGGTGCTGCTTCTGCCGTCTAAGTGACCATCCAGTGCGTCTCTGAACCAAGATTGCCCCCTCACGTCGTCGATGTGCTAAGAAACGGGGCAAGGACTTGGCATATTGTTTGTCCATGCTTCCTTTTTGTCCCCCCCCCAGCCGTAGAGTACGCCATAGAAACTCTCCCATATCGTGTCGGAGAGGTGAATGATGCGCTGGCTATTCATCCTGTGCTTCTGATTCCGCTTGTCGAGAAGGACGCCCTCCGTGATGCTGCTCTTCGTCGGTAGCTGATTGGCCCGCAAGCAGTGTACCAAGATCTCCACGAAGTGTGATCGAGCCTTTGTATACGCCGATGCAGCTTCCATGACGTTCTGGCGTCCGTCTCTTGCGCGGACTCTCGGATTCCCAGGCTGGGGGGTGCGTTCTGATCGCCAGTTCGGGGCCTCGCCACCTGTTGACCCGCTGGGCCTGTTAGTGTGGTGGCCGAGGCTGTCCAAGGGCTGGCCTTGGTGTTGCGCATTCCCGAGACTTCCCCCACTTAAGGCCAGCAAACTTTCTTGGCGACTGGCGGAAGG